GGGCAGAGCCATTTAGGGAATTTTGGTGAGCTGTTGGGCTGGGCGCAGGGTAGTGCTGACCTGGCCTGTGACAGCTCACCAAAACTCCTTAAGTGGCCCTCAGGCCAAAATAATTGCCCACCTCTACTCTAATAGCACCTACTTCAGACAGCCAATTTGAGAGAGCTGGTCATGTGTCTGTTCCTTGCTACAGTGTAAAATCCAGGGTAGATTACCCCAGAGTAATGTATTGCATGTCCACACCTTTTGGATCATGCAAGAGCCAACAGTGCTCTCATGGTAAAGTGACTGCACCCAGAACAGGAAGGGTCAACTCTCCCCTGCTAGACTGCATGTTCAGACAGAAGTAGCATCTCTCATGCACCCTGCACAGATGTCCCCATGCCCTAGGGCTAGAGCACAGTCTGTGCCTCACCTGGAAGGACAGGTTGGACTTGGTATTAGCATTGAAGATCCGTTGGATGCTCTCTTGCTGCTCGCACCGGCACCGTGCTTTTCTCCACCACAACCTTGTATCCTGTGGCCACCTCTGCAATGTGCAGAGGGCGCATGCCTCTATGTACTTGAGATCAGCTGCTCACCCCTTACCAAGGCCAAAAGTCTTGGTGGGTGTGTTCACCTGCCAGAACAGAAGATTACTGAGCTGATGAAAATCTCAGAGTTAGTTTGCTGGGCTAGTCCCCAGGTTGGCTCTGTCTGTGAGTGACCAAATCTGTGGGCAGAGATCGTGACCACTGCTATCTCTGCTCAGAGTAAATCAAGATCAGCATTGCAGCAGGTAGTCACACCATCCACTAGCAGCTTTGGGAGGAAGTGAAAGAGCATGCCTTCCTATCACCTGCCCTGGTGACACCCACCTGAATGAGGTGGGTTATGGGTTTAAATTAAGCATTTACTGGAACTTCAGAACTGCAGAGATAAGGCTGTCCTGCTCTGCCTGGAGCACTTACAACATCCAGAGGACAGCTTCGCCGGGGGATGGGGCCACAGGAAGACGTGAGGACACCTTCCAACCAAGACAGGTGACATACACAAGGAGTACCCAGGTAAGCAGCAGGGGTCCAGATAGTTCTGAGAAAGGGGAGGGCAGTATACGCTCCAATTCAAGGCCTTAAATGCCTCTATACCAATGCTCGTAGTATGGGGAATAAGCAGGAGGAACTCGCTGTCCGGATAGCTAGTTCAAACCCAGGCATAGTAGGGCTCACAGAAACCTAGTGGGATTCATCCCACGACTGGGTGGTCAACATTAGGGGCTATAGGCTATACAGGCGGGATAGAACAGGGAGGAAAGGTGGGGGTGTGGCGCTCTACATCAAAGAGCAATACACATCCTCAACTAGCAGGATGGGGTCAGAGGAGGGGCAGGCTGAAGTGCTCTGGGTCAGGATACAGGGGGGTCATGGGGAAAGGGACTTAATGGTGGGGGTCTATTACAGACCTCCCAACCAAGGGGAAGAGCTGGACCATGAATTCCCAGGTCAGCTTGTGCAGGCACTTAAGGCAGGGGATGTAGTTGTCATGGGTGATCTAAATTACCTGGATGTCTGCTGGGAGGAGCAGTCAGCCAGGTCTGACAGCTTAACCCAAGAGGTGCACAGTCCTACTAGGGCGAATGCCCTGCTGGACCTGGTCCTGGCCACAGGTGACAACCTGGGCAATAGCAATCATCACTTGCTGGAATTCACCATCCAGCGCAGGGTTTCAAGGGCCTGCAGCAAGGCAGTAGCCTTAGACTTTAAGAGGGCCAACTTCAATGAGCTGAGGGGATTAGTGGGGGAGGCACTAGGGTCCTGGAGAGTAGGGGAACTGGGTGCCCAAGATGAGTGGTCATTCCTTAAGGAGAAGATACCCAGATCCCAAAGGGTGACAATCCCAACAAGAAGCAAAGGGGGCAAGGGTGCCCAAAAGCCCCCCTGACTCACCAAGGGCATTCATGAATGCCTGATTGCCAAAAAGGAGGCGTACACCCAGTGGAAGGGAGGGGCTATCGCCAAAGAGGAGTATAACTCTACCGCTCAGGTCTGTAGGGGGGCTTTTAGGAAAGCTAAGGCAGATATGGAACTAGGGCTAGCATCAAGGATAACAAAAAGTCCTTTTTTAAATGCATAGGGAGAATGAAGAAGGCAAGGTAATGTGGGGCCACTGCAAGATATGCTTGGCAATCTGGTGGTCACACCAGAGGAGAAAGCAGACCTTTTTAATAATTTCTTCGCCTCCATTTTCTTGTGCAGGGACCGGGATTCCCCTACTGAGATTCAGGACGGACTCAGGAGAAACTCTGCCAAGCCTAGGGTCAGGGAGGACCAGGTTAGAGAACTTCTGGAGGAGCTGGACATGTTCAAATCAGCAGGTCCAGATGCTCTCCACCCCAGGGTGTTGAGGGAATTGGCAGGAGTTATCGCAGGGCCCCTGGCACGGCTTTACGAGCACTTGTCCGGCACCTGGCCAGAGCACCGCAACTGGAAGAGGGCCAATGTGGTCCCCATCTTTAAAAAAGGGAAGAGGGAGGACCCGGGCAACTATAGGCCTGTTAGTCTTACTTCAGTCCTGGGGAAGCTGTTTGAGAAAATTATCAAGGAGCCCTACTGTGATGGGCCAAGCAGCGGGGATGATGCTCAAGGGCAACCAGCATGGTTTCATTAGGGGCAGGTCTTGCCAGACCAACCTGATTGCCTTCTATGATCAGGTCACAAAATCACTGGACACTGCCTATGTTGGGCCCCCAACACAGCCAGTGCGCTTCACATGCACCATTGTCACAACACAGCTGGTCTAGGTCCCAGAGAGCCACAGACAGAGCACACCACATCACCTACAAGAGAAGCACTAAATTCAGCTGCCACAGCTTGGGAACAGTCATTTCACTTCTCCCTTTCCCTCCCACCCAAGCTGGTGTGGAAAATGGCCATGGCACTGAAAGCAAGCACTTCTGAAAGGCATTTGTGTATGACAAAAAGGCTCTGTTAAACCCTAGCTGGGGCCAAAGCAGGTTCCAACAGGTCTCCTTCTCCTGACCTGGAAGACAAACAGCCAGGGGTTTGGAGCCATGCTTTAGCCCACAAATTAATCAGGGATTAAAACATCTGGACTCAAAGGAGGCAGAAAGTTTCTCAGGTGGTCTGCCCCCTTTTTTTTTGGATGAAAAGATGTGCCAAGGCTAAACTTCCACTTACTAAGCTCCCCCTGTGTGCAGAGTAGGAAGATCAACCATGCATTAGCTGTGACAAACCTGAAGCTCCCTGTGCTCCACATGCTGGAGCCACACAGGAACTAAGATCCCAACTCAGAGCCAGGCCCTGCTAATTTTGTAAAGAGGTCTGACCTTCCATGACAAGGCTACCTGGGTAGGTAATATTGACTGCTTATCCAGCTCAGACAAGGCTGAACTGGATTTAACATATTAATGAGACCTGCATTGGACCATACAATCAGGTTCCTCAGTCCTTTCAAACTGTGCTCTGCACCCCCACGCTTTGACCTGAACCAAGCTGCTGAGGACAACTCTTTGGAAAGGCAGTCACTGATTCAAGTGCAACCATGCAGCATGCCAGCTAGCACAGCCAGTGTTACTGTTAGAATTACAGCTGGGGAGATGCATGAAAGGATTCCTGGCCAGCAGCGACTGAGCCACTTGAATCAAACCCTGGTCAGCTTTGCAGTGGAGACAACTGCTGTACAGGCACAGCCAGAGCTTGAAGCCTGGTTGAGCTCTAGCCTGGTCTCCCTCACCTCAAGGGGAAAAGACATTTCTGAGAACTGCGCCTAGAACCCTATCACAGACAACGTTCCTAGCGAACCTGCAACACCGCTTTCAGGCATGAGGCGCTGGGGGCACAGACTGTGAAGCCACTATGGGACTCAGGGGGCCACACGTGGAAGCACTTGTTTTGCTTAGTTTGGTTTCAGCTGTGGTAGGATGGGGGCTCTGGAGGAAGCTGACAGTCCTCCCATCAAGCCTGGTAACTGCAGCAGTTTCATCCGGGCCCTGAGGTGCTAGGGCTACTGAGGACGGGCAGGACTGAAAGGCAGAGGTTAGACAGCCCTGCTGCCCCAGCGATGTGGGGGCAAAGGGGACTGGCGCAGCCCCCCCAGCCCAGCCTGTGCAGCCAACAGCCTGAACGTCCCTTTCAGGGCGAGGGCAGCCCCTTGTGCCCGACAGAGGGACCTTGCGGCACCTGCCCGCGGGCCGGGCCGCTCAGGAAGCCAATGCGCGTCCGTCC